AAGAAATTTGTGATGGAAACTAGATATTTTCCTCAATCTCGTTCACTTGAGAAAATAATACTTTTTATGAAACAATTTCAAGATTGCATTGTCACTTAATGTAGAGCGGTACCATTGATAACTGGGGGGGGGGCATTTAGGGGGAACTTTATTAAGAACTATTCGCACATGGTGTGATGGAAAAATAGTTGAAAAAGTTAACAACCTGCATTGTGGACAAAAGTTTAACTAATTTTGAAAATAGTACAAACGGGTTCAGGCAATGTAGACAAGCAAACTGAACTCGACATTTGTATATGTTTCGTCGATTGTAAAAAAAAAGATTCATGCCTGCACCTAATCAGGGCGTTGGTCTTCTGGGGTATCAGGGGGGGGGAGGGGCTCCCTCAATAATTACGGAGTAAACTGCATGTGCATGTCCCACACAGAATATGATTGCCTTCAATGTATTTTCCACCCCAAACCCCATTTCTCCTCCAAATTGAAAACGGGACAACACCCCTGCGTCATCCTGCTCTATAGAACGGCACATATGGGCAAACATAGATAGAGTTGAGCAAAGGAATATAGTTAGATTCGTAGACGAACGAGGCGGGGAACATTAGGGGCTGCAGCCCCCCCCCTTCGAATCTCAAAGTTCCTAATGTTCGGGCAACCGCCACCCACATTCCAGCAGTGAGGCAGTCTATATTTTGATGCTGTATATGGTATAGTATTTTTGTTTTGATGATGAAAATTACATTTCACTCCCATTTTGCTCGCTCACAACATTTTTGAAAGTGAAATTTCATATTCAGGCAATATACGTCAGCCCCCCCCCCCTCCGCAAAATTTTGCCTTTACGCCTTTACACTAATGTTTTAAATGTTGAATAATTTCATTTATTTTGAAGAAAATAAACGGCCTTGTGTGTCTTATCGAAAATATATGTTATATGTAGTATTTCCTTCTCAACACTTGCTAGTCCGCCCTTTTTTGTTTTGTCTAAAAACAATGACAATGGTTTGGTGTACGTGCAGGATACAAACGTTCGTAGGGGTAAAAGGAAGGGATCTTGACACAACATTGGCACCTCTGACCAAGCGAGATCTATCTTGTTTACCTTCCTGTCTGTGTGTATTACTGTCAACCGGTCATACAGGCCATAAGTTCAATCTATCGGGAAAGTACAGTAAAAGTAGAAAACTAGATTAACAACATTTTTATGGATATTTCTTTTTTTCTTCCTTTCATTTTTTTTAATAAAACATAATTCTTATAAATGTCTAAGGTTCACATCTGATTAGGTCTCCTTATTATGCATAACAATGGAACTCAGTCACTATAGCAGAATTTCATATTTTTAAATAAAATTCACCTTCCTGCGTCTGTTTTTCTAAAAACTTTAAACGACATCATCAAATTTCAATACAATGGCTGCCCAGGGAACATGGTTTCGAGAGACCAGAATAAAAGAATTGATGAAACTCATAGCATATACTAACTAATGTCTCGAAACAGTTTAGTTAGTATGTAACTCTACTAACGCACCTTCAAACAATGCTCCATAAAACTACTCCGTTCCGTGGCGTGTTTCCTCATTACCTTGGTAACGGTGTACAACATAGTTTCCTTACTGGTTTCTATAGGCCTATCGATCGCAGACAGAAGGAAATTATATGCGGTACTTTTCACGTGATGCAATGTTGAATTACCAATGACCAAAGGGATTTCAACGAACAGTGTGGTGACATGTCAACCAAGTCGTAACTGCTTGCTACGTGTGGGGAACCGGGGGGGGGGGCAAGTGCCCGTCCCCTTCTAATCAAACGGCCAAGCTGAAGAAAAAATAAACAGATGAGATGATACAATACATTTCCACCCCTCCCCTCTCGATGACCTTGTTCTCTCATTTTTTCAATCTAGTAATAGTTCAACCGGTGTCTCATCCCCATTGACACCAGTATACACTCTTTGATATCACCCCTCCTCTAACAAAAAAGTGGTTTAAACAAAACTTACAAATAGTATTCAGATCTAGGGAGAAAAGAATGAAGAGAGATATGACATCAATACACTGCTATGATAGAATTATTCCGAAAAATGATTGATTAAAAACCGAGTTACTGATCTTACGATTCATGTTTTAACAGCATCTCATTGAAGATTATTAAAGAAAGAAAATAATCTTTCTTATCTTCAGACAATTCAAGTTATTTGTTTGCCTGTTCAAAGATGAGAATAATAACGAATAAATAATAAATTAAAGTTGGTTATTTGAACGGACCGCCAACAGCGGTGAAGCTGCTATACGAGGGGGGGGGGGGGAGGGGTACACCAAGGCACGTGTCCCCTTCGAGAGAAGACATCCCCCGTCCCCCAAAAGATAAAAGGGGGAGATAAACAGTGACAGGAAGAGAGGTAGGGGTCGACGCTAAATCTCTGACTACCACCCCATGTGAGGTAGTAACAAAGGAGTCGAGGGTATTCAACATGTTCAAAGCAATACCTTTAATTTTATTTTGGGCTATCGACAGATCGCATCAATTGGTGCTCAAGTTGTCTTGTTTCCTGAGCCGACATCGTCCTGTCTAATTTTGGTTTTGGCTAAGAGATGCCAGAATTAGGATACCATTAGGCATGCTGGTATTCGAAATGTGATCCGCTTTCGAATTTAAATTTAGCCTGACTTGTTTCCTTGTATTTGAAGTGACTAATGTAGTTATATACTAGCCTGAAACAAGTCAGAATTTGTGTCCAATATTGAGAAGATTGCTAAGACTTTAGAAATAGCGGAGAGACTGGTGTGTAAGTACATTGTGTGCTACTTGATTTTTTCCCCCTTCTTTTGTGTTATTTCTTTGTTTAGAATAATCATCGGGTCGTTGCTCGGTATAGCAGGCAAATGAGACTCGGTGATTGGTTCGTTCTGCATTTATCGAGATATAAATATAGCTCAACGTTATATTCATGAGGCAATTATATTGTTCATTAAATTTGTGGAAAGGGGGATGTTTGGTATACATCAATAAACAGTCCCAACATGCAATTTATAGACCACAGAAACACACAAACACATTCTGGAAACCTAATTAACGCCTCTGGTGTGACAAATCATAACAAAATAGATATAAGGGGCAACGGTATGTAATCCATTCATTAATCCACAAGAAAGACCTCATATTTTTAGAGAAAAATCAAATAAAATAGAAATAAATCACGTTGTAGAGAACATAGACATGATAAACAGCTGTATCTTATAATTATTTGGAGCAAAGAATAACTCCCAATGATTAGGCTTAGATTGGGTTGACCTAAATACCAGAAGTACAACCAGATGTATCGTGGGCTAGGGATCGGGGAAACTCGTTCATTTAATAATATATAGCCATGATATAGACTATAACAAGAGCGCGGTAGCATTTGCATAGATTTAGCTCTATCTAATTAGTGCTTATTGATTTGATCATTTGAAAGTGTAATACATTTTGAAAATGAATATTTGTTAAGAATCACGCAATGATGATTAACACCACCCTCTGCTCATACTATACTGTGGGCTTGGACAATAAAATCATTACATTTTTAATATTCACTACTTTTGTAATTGGTAATGAAAGCTCGTGATGGTATAGATAAGTGTATCCACCTTTCATTCCCTCACTTTACTGATTACATTACGTTTATGTTTGTACATAATACAGAATGTTGGGCTTTTGACTAATATGTTAGGAGGTTTTCAGACGCAATTTGAACGTTGTTTAAACAACAAAATTACTCTTGACTTCAGTCGGCTGCGTGTTCCAGAATGGACACATTCTTTTCTGTATAATGCTGTATAAAATGCATTACTAAAAAGAAGATCATTAGAGAGAAATTTTCTTGGTTCAGCTATATACCTAACAATAACATGTGAGCCTAAGAAACTTTACTGTTATTAGCTTATAACCAATTTTAAAAATGATATCAATGATTATAGAATATTGGATATTTTCCAATTATATTGCATACGAAACTTTAACTCAATTCGCTCCTGAAAAAACTCTCTCGAGACCGACACCCCATAAATAGATAGCCCACGAGACCGGCAATGTCGGTCTAGTGATCAGCCCCGAGAGAATATTGTCAGTCGGTCTCGTACTAGACTGCATCTTCCTAAATCATGAATGGTGCCAATATAATGTGTATCCTCCTTCCTGAATAATGTTCCCTCGGTACAACTTTTTCATCTTATGCCTGAAAAAGAAAACACCAACTTTAATTGGCACGTACGATCAAATTGTTACTTCCACTTGTTAAGTCCTGTGGATTTTCAGAGGAGTTAATGGATTTATGGTCGGGAAGCGCTTCATTTCACAGAAGAAGATTTGATAACTCTTGAATGTCACGAATATCACTTTAAGAAGCAATTGTAAGACATAAGTGTTTATCTTGGGTTGTTATTTAGAGTATGAGTAACAGTGAGAAGATTCCTTATCACACAGGATGGCGCCGATGTTTTCCTCACAGGTATTGAAGCAAGTCAAGAATATATTAAATGGCTATATGGGGAGACCTACCGAGAACATTCGTTGCAGTAGACGAAGTGTAATGATCACGATAAGAAAACAGTGGAAGGAGATAACAAAATAAATAATAATAATAACACAGGACAATAAAAAAATAATTAAAATGTACATTAAGGAGTCGTACAACAAGGGTATCAATTTCAATGGAAGACAATGCAAGATGAGGAAGAAAAATAAAACGTAATATATAATATCCAGAATATAAGAGAGCAATTTGAAATAAGCATTCGATTATTTTGTTTATATTGATAACACCTTGAAATGTGATGACAGGAAGTAACCAAAAGTTGGACAAAGAAATATCAAACAAACAAACGTTCGACTCATGCAGGAAAAAAAGGAGAAAAAATCATGGAAAGTTCTCCTTGAGAAAATGGAGTGACCTTGAACATGCAAGGTGAGAAAAGGTCAATTGGAGCTCAGAAGTAGAGCCTTGGACCCTTGGTAACTTACTCTTTCTGCCGACAGTTTCTGGGCGCCAGCGTAAGTAAAAATCCAATTTCGCCTTCTTCAATAGTTCTTCACATGTGTATCTCGTTGTTCAAAGATGCATTAATAATGTATTTCTTCCTTTCATTTATCGCACGACGACTTGACTTTTATTGGCAGTCGAGGTGTCTGGTGATGATTGCCTTTCCTCTCATTCACACAGTCTCGTCTGCATGGCAGGTCGCTAACTCAGTACCGGAATGCGATTTTTTGCGAAGTTTGCCTTCGATCATGTGTGGATGACGCCTGCCAAGCTTGCCAACAAACTTGTTAAGAACGCCGTTAGGTATTAGGGAAGAAGCTTGACATCCGACACAAACAAGTTAGTGCTGCGATACATGGAGGTACTTCATGTAACAGGTCGATTTGCTGTTGAATATACGAGGTAGTGCAGTCCTTTCTGAGAAGCGAGACGAACTCAAGAAATCATTCAATGTTGAACGATTTCCTCTTCAGCATAGTCCCACGAGTGCAATGCGAGCAAAGTTTGCAGAGTAAATTGTTCGAATCTGAAGCTGTTGTTGAATGTAATGGCGCAGATCCCGAATCAGAATGATGCCGGGTAGCAAATGACTACTTTGCCGACTGCCCCGGTGATGACTCAATGCTCTATTGATTCAAATCAGTCTGTGTTTGAAAACTGTGCGTAAACGGTGCCAAACGTTGCCAGCAAGGTTATTTTTTGAAAAAGTTGTGCAAGAAAACTTAATGTTGAATTAAAGAAAAGAAGAAAAACGAAAGAAAGAAGCAACGGCATATGGACCTTTATCTAGAAAGTTAGCAAGGCACTAGAATATCCTGGTTCCTTTTTCTCTTCAAGTTCAACAACGTCAAAATATGTTAGTTGTTAAGTAGCATAAAACGTCAAACAGAATATCAACTTATCACAAATTTCATGTTGATGCTATATAGGTGGCTTCAAAGTGAATAATTCGAATTAACCTTTACTCAGGAGTTAAGTCATTTTTCTCTTCAAGTTCAACAACGTCAAAATATGTTAGTTGTTAAGTAGCATAAAACGTCAAACAGAATATCAACTTATCACAAATTTCATGTTGATGCTATATAGGTGGCTTCAAAGTGAATAATTCGAATTAACCTTTACTCAGGAGTTAAGTCATTGAGGATCCTTCCATCATCCGAGATCTATGAATTATGTTGTCAAATGGTAAATGAGTCTGAACAAGCTCAGAGCATATGTCACTCTCATCAGGGGCGGATCTAGGGTTTTGTAGCGGGGGGGGGGGGGGGGGGGAGGCAATTTTTCGAAATTTACACAACAATCAAGGGGGCAATTGTATTGGGTACTTTGAGGTACGTCATTTGGGTTTAAAAGAGGGGATGGGGTATACGGGTTATTCCTCCCCTCCCTAAATTCGCTACTGACTCTTATTGACTGGCTTGGGTGACTAGCTTCAAATGTTGACTTTGTTGTAATCTTCAAACCAGCTAATATTGCCCTATACCTTTTCCCAACACATTACATAGGAATGAGAAGTTTGCGCTTCATATATAGGTCATAGGCCTACTACTGCAGTATCATGATTCTCGTGTTGACCTTTATTAGCGTGATCAGTCATTAAACAGTTTCCCTTCCAAGTTCACCTCTTTATGAATCCCTTACCAGCTGTCGAGAAGCCGGTATATCCAGCTTTGATCCCTTAACAGCATAATCATCGATGTGATTTTGAGAACAAAGATCCCCATCCGTTACCATAAACATGATAAAGAGAGTAGCTCAGATATCGTCTGCTAAGGACCAGAAGGGCATTCATGTAAACCCTTTTAACGTTCAATGGTAGAGTTAATGCCTTTCTTGCTCTCAGTAATCGACATCAGATCTATTTGTTTTCTACCAAGGGAGTAATACTCTGTTCATGAGTTGTTAACGAGTTAATCTAACTTCTTTCACCTAATAAATCATCGTTGATAATAATAATCAATGGCAGTTCATATTTTGACAATGTCTCACTCAACGGGATTCAGAGGCATCACTAGAATTTACCATTTGAAATTTCTGTCGGCAAATCCGTTTCTGTTATTAGCATATGTAATTTGGGGGACCTTGTTTGCGCTTTACTGTAGGCCGTTTTTGGCAAAATAGACTTGATTTTACCCCTTCTTTCCCAATTATTCCTAAGAAAGTTTTCCAGCAGATAATGATAATAATATTCCGCTTATATATATTGCTTTAATAATACACATATATGATGTCTTTAAGTGCTTTACAAAATTACCCGATTTGATGCGACCCCCATAAAACAACTTTTTTTTAGCGATGCCTCTGCCGAATTTGTTTCAACTGACAACCAATGCTCAATTTGAACATATTGAAATATGAATGTATCTTTACACTCCGAGAAAACTACATGAAATATGATACTTTTTATAATTATTAATGATGTGCTGTCTAGACATTACTCAACTCTTTAAACCTGTAGATTTGCTTTCATGTTTAGAAATAGCAAGGAGGACGATGTTTGAACGTTTACATGTTTAGTCATAATATGTGCTGAGAGCCAGAAGGGCGATTAGTCGAGTACTTGAACAGAGAGTTAACGCCCTTCTTGCACTCGGCGGACGGGTTTTGAGCCGTGTGTTCTGGGAGTGATCTTCCTGTCTCTCAATGTGATGTGAGGTTCATGTTCGTTTGCTCACCCTGGTATCCTTCCGCGTTCACAGTCAAAAGGTTTATTTTTAAGATGGAAACCATGGATGTATGGATCTCTCTTCATCGGTGCAAGGTTACTCTTCACGAGGTTCATATACTGTTCAAATATCACGAATAACTCACTGCTTTCATGTTGTACACATCAATAATTAAACAACACAGGCTGTAGGTCTTAGTCACAAATATGTACACTTTATTGTATAATTTTATTTCAATGTTAACATTTGCGTTGAACAAAACATATGATCATACTCTCTTCGACTCTAATTATTACTCGATCGAAAATAAGACAAGGCAGGATCCACAAAGAAATTAATTTTAACATAGGTTTCATGACGATGTAGTCTCTTTGAAATTTGCATTATATCATCTTTTTTGAGGATTAGTGTCATTATTCCATACAACTTAAAGTGCATGTACATATAATCTTAGAAAAAAAATATCAATATAAAGAATGTATCTACATTATATACATTGCAATCGAAGACCGGCCTGACTGCGATTTCACCAATTATTATGCAAGTTAAACACAAAGATAAGTACTCGGTGGATAATGGAGAAAAAAAATCGTATTCGGACACAAGGAGAATGAATGAAAGAGTAACATACACAGAAAGACAGACAGACAGATAGACAGAGAGATAGATGGACAGACAGAAAGATAGACTGATAGATACAGTGTAGATATATCTATAAAGAGAGATAACGTTTAATATTACCAATTTATCCGAATGAAAGGGCAAATAATTCCTTTTAAAGATGATATGAAATGATAACATCAACTTCATGAAACAGTTACTTCATAGTATCAAGATCGGACTATCGTTTTGCGGTATTACAAACAAAAAATATACTCTTATAACATTTCAAACTTGCAATCCACAATCTATTTGAAATTTACCACGTGAAAATTATGAAATATGTTTGGTTTCCTAAAGATGTGATTGAAAAATCTTTATGAAACCAAAGATATTTCATACTAAGAATAGTACCAAACAAAAATATATTTGTATACTTATAATTACATTCCAGATATCAAACGTTATTAAAGTCTCTTCAAAGAAATATTTGTTTAACAGGAAAGGCTCGTTTTTCATTTCATTCAAAAAAAAAGTTTAAAGAACATAAAGTCAGCAGAGAACGCTCAATGAAGTTATCGGTACATGAGACTGATGTCCAAATATCATGAAGGCTTGGAGCAATGAGTGGAGGCTGAACTGGAGACTACACGTAGCTGCCTCTGTAGAACAGAAAAGATGGAGAATATTCAAAGTCATTAACATTTGTTTTCTTCATTTTTGTATCCAACTCCGGGAACAGATAATACGGCAATGAGATTTTTGGAACGGATTTCCGCTTGAGACTAAATAATATCGGGTATCTTCGATGAACATTCACTCGGTGTGTGGTTATAATGGTGCAGATATATTTTGGTTGTTGTTCCTAACGTTCTTCCTGATCGTCTGTTATAATTATGTTGCACAATAAAGTTATGAAATATATACAATTCGTTTATTAATAATAAAGGAATTAATCAGGGTTGTTTGCATCTAGATCACATTTTATGAAAACGATACTATGATAAAGCAATAATGCATTAACAAACACAATACTTGCTTGTCACGAAAATTGAAAATGGGATATCTCATGACAGGAAATTACTCAAAACGTATTTCTTACATAAAAAAAATAATAAAAGAAAGCTTGTGCCAAGGAGATTATATTCATTATCCATTATCCTTTATTATTCACGGGATTTACAATATTCTTGTCCCAAACCACAAACTACGCCATCATTCGACGAGAGCGAAGCAAACGCACTTTTGAAAAGCGAAATGTTCAAGATCTTTATATCCAGTCAAAATTTAAAACATTTGGAAGTCTAACTGATATTTTTTTTTCATTCCATGTGTTACTTCATAGAAATTGAAATGTCTTATTCAATTAAACGCTCTACAGTACTGCGCAAGAAGATTTTAAATGTATCTATAATTGCCTATAAATTTATGCAATACTATTTTGTAAATTTGGCCAGTAAATTATCATAAAGTATTAATTAAGTTTTACAAATGGAGGTTTCAACTGATTGGATGTTTCCTTACTTTTTGCAACATTTGCAGATGTAGAGCAGACAGCCCCCGATACAACACCCAGTGAAGAGGATGAGGATTATGATGATGACGGCGGAGACGATCTTCTGAATCTTGTTATCAATCATCATCCAGTAGTCGTCTGGTACATCGGTGGTCGTCATCATCATCGTTGTGGTTAGAGCGGGAGTTGTGGGCGGCGTCGTGGGCGGAGGGGTTGTTCTTCCACCTGAGTTTGTTTTTAATGATAGTAAGATACTTCTTAGTAATACGTCTTATCATCAGAGGTACAAGCATAATGATCCAAGACGTCAACTTAGACGTTCTGAGGGCATGCTTTAGATTAAAGGCCTATATCAAGACAAATACCTACATTAGTATATTTTACGTCATGAAGTCTAGAACTGTTTCACAGTAAAAAAAAAAAATATGAGGTCTAAAAAAAAACCGCCTGACATGGGCGTGATGAGGGTAATTATGCGTCCAACTAACAGTTGGGCAAGTATATGCTAAACTCCGGGTGGTTTCTGTTCATTAGTAAAAGATTATCTTGATCGGGGAAAAAACATTATAAATGAAATTGTACTTTTGTATATTGTTACTCTACTTTTGATATGCAAACTAGTACTATTCAGCCATCCGGCTGTGAAGATATGTTTCAATTAATCTCGACTAACGCATGTGCTATTTTCTTGTCCCATTCATCCTTAAGCATACATTTTGATTGTGTAATATTTCTTTACTACTGTGAAGACATTTTGTGAAAAAAATGTCATATTGTTTCGGTTGTTGGTGAATGAATAAATCAATCGATCAAAAAATGATTTAAAGGTGGTCAGACACCTAGTTACCTTCGTCTTGGAAATGTTGCCATAATATTTCTTTACTGAGTTTAAGATGAAATCAAAGTGAATTTAAAAAAAATAATGCTAAATCGATTTCTAAAAAATGTCATTATACTGGACTAAATACTAACCTATTGGTTCACAAACACCATTGATCTCCATGAAGCCTGGGCAACATTTCCTCACGATGGCATACTGGACTCGAGTGGCCTGACGGTATGCAGTCTCATATTCTAGTCTGGAATATATAGAGACACATCAAGAATTAAGTTAACATGGTTAAAAAGAAGTAAAACAAATCACAATTAAGGACTTTGTATTAAATATATTGTATATACTGCTTAGTTTAGTTGAGATTATCGAGAAAAGCTATTACGAACGTTGTTATGCTACCTAGGCAAACGAGGCTAATCATAATTGCCTGCAAAGTCATACTGACGCCCGATGTCAGTAATATTTGAAATCTAGATATTGAAATATTTGAGATATATATGCAATTTAAACAAGCCATTCTTTACAAAGTAACGAATTTTGAATGAGTATTGCTTGTTTGTCAGCATACTTGATATAGTATGGACTAAATTAGTTTATTGTAATCATGTAAGAAACAAATTATCGTAAACCTTTCATGCCTGTTCTCGTACAAGAGATGGCGCTGATGTGATTTGATAATTAAAGAAATCTGCACACCTGTGTTTATAGTCAAGAGGTTTTGACAGAGTAGAGCATGTTGCGTTTTTATTTGTTTCCCATCAGATACAAAATGTCTGACAAATGTGTGACCTTCTTCAGCAATGTCATGACACCACAAGTTTGTAATTCTAGCAATTCATTCTAGATTCATTTGTATCAGCAATGTTAATTGCAATCATACATTATATAAACATAATGCTTCACCACTTTTCAAATGTTCTAATATATTTGCAACTTATTTGATATATAATTAGATTATTCCGAATTTATTCTGTCCAGCATTACAATAAAATTGAATTAAACATGTGAAATAGGTATGCCTGTGTTAACATAAAATATTTATCCAAAAGAGAATGGGACTATCATTTTTTCTGTATAGCAATGCTTACCTGTAGACTTTGCACTTTGCAAGATGAAGCCATCCACATTTGATGATTTTCGGCACTTTTCTTGACTTCTGAAAAGACTGGGCGAATGTGACTGTAACACTGTAGAGAATATGGAAGGTTGCATATTGAGAAGTAATTCAACAAGCCACTTTAATAATGTAATGGATGTGGAAACTAGTATAATTATAGTAAAGTGTACCTCGTATATTATAGCAGGGATATGTGAGTTAAAAAAAACTCACATATCCCTGGTTATAGAAATATATATATTTATAAAAATGAGCCATGTAAAAACATATTTCGTCTTACTTTTCAATTCATTCAATTCATGGATTCCATTTCATCACGGTTGGAAAAGAGAATTGAATCAAATTAAATTCAATATGATCATACTATAAACACAAACAATAATAATGTTTTAAATAGAAAACTCGATCACAATTTACCTGACAAGTTTAGTACATCTTCCTGGTTCTAGGGTTGTCATTGTATCATTTTGCTCCGACCCGTTGATGACGTCACGACGATGACGATCGTACTGACCGTGCTCACTTTGATGTCCTTGGGACCCTGTGCTATGGGGGTTATCATGCCCATGACCGTGATCGTTCTGATGGTGATCATGTCCGTGGTCGTGGTCGTGATCATGTCCGTGGTGGTGATCGTGGTGGTGATCGTGGTGATCTCGTGATCTTCCTCCTAGTCCCCCTCTACCTCCGGGTTTGCCATGTTTCCCTTTCTTCCCCGAAGCATCGGCGTAGGCGACGAGGAGGACGAGAGCGAGGACGAGCAAAAAGACCGATGAAGGCTTCATCTTGTTACTCAAGGAGTTCTAAATAAGTAAACAATATTTTTTTTTCTTAAATCGTAGAATTCAACTCACTGGATAATATAACCTTCCTTTTATCAATACGTATCTCACTGGAGCTTAAAATCGATGACCACTATGATATAATTGGTGCAATACTTTTTTTATGAATACTTTTTGTTAGCATAAACAAGGAATACATTATTTTATAGAAAAAAAGAATGAAATGATAGATATAAGACAGAATGAAACGACATGTTAATGCTAATATACATTAATCTCCAGGCATTAGGTAACTAATTGTGTATTTGAAATACCCAAACTAAACTTGCATGCGATTCGCTTGATATTAATGTTCGTTCATATAGATCTGCGTATAGCTGTTGCCTACTAAATGTAGTATTTACATCTATGTTTTAACTTCGCAACAATGGTTTATGATAACGTGATATGATAACAGATTTTATTATAAAAAAAAGAAAGATTATGTTCAATCAATCTATCAATCAAATTTCAGCATTATGCCTCCTTGCTTACCTCTACTATTAGAATTTGACGTGAAAACTATCAAAGAAGACACCTCTGAGTTGTTACGAAACAGGTAGATGCTGATGCCAAAGTTAGCGTAAGGTTGAGGAAAGATCTGCCCTAAGAATACCCTGCAGCTTTAGAGACTACTAGTTTATGTTCCCTTTCTCTCCAGCTCATAATACCACCACCACCAGATACACTCTATTTTATCCCTTTTCTGGCTGGCGTTGGGCCCTAGTATCAGACGCGAGTGAAAGTGGTCTGCCAAAACCGGACGTGACATCGCTTCCAAATTCCAAAATCGGAACTTCCACCCACTCAAACTGTTATGATGATAAACCTAGTTTTATAGTCTTATTATAACTATTTAGTATACAATAACACAAAACAATCGATTCATATTGAATATGTAGACTCATTATTGTTTTGGTTGTGTGGGATAACTTTGTCACCGTGACAACCAATCATATATTGTCTGGAGTTTGAGTGAACTTTTGATATATTTTTATACTTTTGTTGACATAGTGTATTCATCTCAAAAGCTCTGTGCTGCAAGTCATCTCCAAATCACAGAGAAATGATGGTACAGGTATTCGTAATCATGATGAAGGGGAACATTGGTATTTCCCCGCATAACATACAAATCTATGCCATGTTTCATTATTCATTCTCCGAGTGTTTATACGCCCCCCCCCCTTCATTATTTTTTTCTCTCCTCACTTCACGAAAGCATCATAATAATATATGAAAAGTGCATGTTTTGAAAGAGTCCTCTCCGGTGGGAAAGAATTATTGTGGAATAACTGCGATATAACCAATACATTTATATGGCTCTCAATCAAAAGGTCTACGGTTCAATCTCTGTGCACTGCATTTTTTTTACACGAAGCATTTTGTCCGTAGCTGTCTCTCTCGACCCGGGTGTTAAACGTGTACCTGGCCGGATTCATTCACGACATGCACTGCGCATGCTAAGTTTCGACAACGGCTATCGAAGCTATTCCGTGTTATAAGATGATGACGTAGATCCTAATCAAATGATTGGTTGAAAGCGTACACGTGACCAGGCATTTATTTTGCCTAACGCGTAATTTGGGTAATGACCGGTCATTACCCAGTGGTAATGACCGGTCATTACCACATCTAGCTAAAATTAAGTCAGGGGTCTAATATTAGACGCGCGCAAGGCATGGTATGCCTCAATTAGCGCTTATTTTAAACCATGGGTTATGTAAATGAGAATTTAAACCATGGGCTAGATTTAAACCTCCTTTGTGAATTCGGGCCTTTGGTTTGAGATGAGGGCGATTGATCAAATAACAAGGATCCACGTTATAATTTTATAAAACAAATAATACACATCATTTTGTTCGGGCATTAATTAGTACAATTTCCCACACTCGGTACCTTTGAAAAAGTCTAACACGCCCTCGGCTATCGCCTCGGGCGTGTTAGACTTTTCCAAAGGTACCTTGTGTGGGTAATTCTTACTAATGCCCTCACTGGTGTGTATTATTTGTATACTAATGCATGGTAATAATTTATAAAACGCTCACAATACTGTGCAAAGGGACGTTGTAATGAGCAATTATAACAAAAATAATATTTTGACTATCCGTAAGTTTGAGGAGGCACATTTTGCACGGGGAGCTGAGGAAGGGCTTAGGAAAGGAGACTTTTTGGGAATCCCTATAACGTGAAATTTTTCAATTTACTATAACGTGGCCGATTTGAAATAAAATATCACCCACTATCGAAAATGGTTACTTTGAATAGGATTTTAATACTTTGAATGTTTGTTACACTTGCTAGCTATATTATGAGGATCATTTTCTTATATCATTGTCTGAAAAGCATTTGAAGTTTGAATAGATTTTTTTATTCAGATCAGTTGCAGCGTTTAAAAATAATATCAAAACGTATCTGTTTCATTCGGCATATTGTTGTTCTGTCATTACTGTTTTATCTTACTCATGTGTCTTTGTTTATAATGTAAATGCTTTTATGTGATCTCTTTTTTTCTTCTTAAGTGCTCCTTGAGCATTATGCTTCAAGTCGATTCAGCGCTTTACAAAACTCATATATGTTCATTTTTATTATTTGTATTATTATTATTATTATCATTAATAGTATTATTCTTATTCTTCTTCTTCTTATTATTATTTTTTTTTTTGGGGGGGGGATTTTTAAAATATTTTCTTGGGGGCTTTATCTCCTGGTGGCTTTGGAGGTGAGGCTCGTGAAAAAACCTCCCTATCTACATACTCAGAACGAGGTATTCTTTGTTATAAAGCATTATAATTGTATATAGATTAAACAGGGTTGGACTGTGTATTAGAAAATGTATATTTGTATTGTCATGAGTCATATGGGGAATGTGTGAACAACGAGCTGTTATGATATGTTACCACAATATGAATAATGATTCATGATTTACATCCGGAACGAAATCCCACCAATGGATTTGTTATTGTCATCTCACCGTAATGACTATTTCCCATAACTCCTTGCAATTAGAAATATGAATCAATTTGAAACAAGGTTGAATTCCCCTTTCAAAGCCGTACCATGTAATCGTAATCATGTATAATTATTACTACTTTCATTATTATTATTATCATCATCATTATTAGATGTTTACGAGTAAACATGATAAAATGAGGGCATGCAGATCTGGGTAAAAAATTATGGCGTAATACCTTGTCGGGTGGGGGGGGGGGGGCAGCCGAAACGATCACCAGCAATGTATTTGACCAGAGAGTGACATACATATCCATTTTCCACGTAAGATGGAAGACTTTTCCTAGAGTATGTAATAATAGTACCCTCGATTTGATTCCATCTGCATGTCTTTTATTTTTTACCATTGTTCGAAGCGAAGTAATATGATCAAGAGAGACATTTTTTAGTATCCTGCTTGTAAAATATACAGGTATTGTATTGTATGTTCGGACATTTTAACACTTCTGAAATCAGACAAAAGGGGTCTAATTTAAGGTTCCTGCTCACTGTTGCAATTACGTATCATTCCATTCTAAAATGAGGGACAAGCAATTATCATTTCCTTTACCGACGTACTTTCTTCGATGTTAACGGCTCCAAGAACAAGAGTTTATGAACTTTTTTAAAGTGCGTCGTAGCAACATCTTATTTGGGGAAGAAGTACAGATCCGGAGTTTCAAGTTGACCTGGATTATGTCTTCAATATTATTGACCAGATATGCAAAAAGACGTCGATTCATCGTGTAGATATTGTTTTTGAAGGATTGGTTACAAAGATCAATTCCGTGCTTAAAACTCGAACGGACATCCTTAGCCTGTATGGGTAACACTTCCTCCATCAAACCCTGAACAAACATTAGGCTATTGTTCATACGCTCTTCATGTTTTCATTATGATCTGCAAGAAATTGACGATCCAATATTAAAATTTGAAATACTCTATGTTTAAAAATATGGAAAATCATGTATGGCAAGAAGCTCTCATTAAAACAATGTGTTTTTTATTCCATAATTTGCACATAAAGTACTGGATTTCACTGAGAAGTGAAGACCACAAACAATGTATAGGGAAGATATGAATACAAATAATAATCTATATAAAGTTTACAGTTGACATTTCTCGAGATCAAATTATCTGAAATTAGGGGAAAAATTTAACTAATTAATTCACTTTCAATATGAAACATAATGAAGAGAGAGATAATAAGAAAACTTTCCGTGTTCCGAAGTATGGTTCATATTTTCAGACCGACAAACATAAGTGTACGAGGCGGAAAGGGGGGGGGGGTTGTATTTTTAAAGTTTCGATATTCGGGCAAGCATAATCTCATATTTGGGTAGCATTGTAACTGAATAATTATTATGATTTTCATATCTTATCTAGTGTACTTGATGATGAAATGACGTCTTATACTTAAAGGGAAAGTCCAATCTGATATTGATTGGTTTTAAGAGAAGCAGAACATGAGAGAAACAAATCAGTGAAAGTTTGAGCAAATTCCGATGAAAGTAAGAAAGTTATGAATTTGTGAAGTTGCCATAAATCAAACAAAAATTGGCAACTCCATGACGTATCTTGCGAGCACCTCTCCAATTAGCTCTGTACAGAAAATTTCATAAACTTTCATTTTCTTAGTTATTGATGACGGAACAGATTTTTTTCGTAGAGAGGGAATGTATAGTTGAAATCTTCTTAAGGGAAAATATATATTTTTGAAGATGTTTAGTTCAGGGCAAATGGAAGAGGAGCTCGCAAGATACGTCACAAAGTTTCCACTTTGTGTCTGTTTGATCGCACCTTCAAAAATTCATAACTTTATTGTTTTTAATCGTTTTTTTTTTTTTTGCTAAAACTTTTACTGAACTGTTTTGCTCATTTACTGGTTCTATTAAAACCGACTCAATATCAGATTGGCCTTCCCTTTTAAGTGTCTTTTATCTTTTCTTTATAGAAGCGAGCGAGGTGGGCAGCAATATTATGGGTGATTTGGGACAGGAGATACCCGAATATCCTCATTTTTTGTATCTTATCTAGTTATTTTGGTGATGAAATCAATATTTGGAATGAAACAAAATTGACAATTTCTTTTTACTTTCCCATTTGTAAGTGAGCCATTAATATGCTTAACATGAATGTTTTGAGACAGAAAGGTTGGTATCGGGGTAAGAGGCCTTAGTTTCTTCTAAAAAATATGTCAACAGATGAAGATCAAGAGCACTGCTTCGAGGAAATTGTTTAAGAATAGTTATCTTCTCTTGAGCACATCGAAACTGGGATAATGGAGCAACAATCAAATTATGTGATATTACCATACTCTGTAATAATCAATATTTCAATCGATCAGTCCACAAATCAATCAATCAATCAATCAACCAATCAATCAATCAATCAATTAGTTAATTCACTCAATCAAGTAATCAGTCAATTAATTACCAACCTCTCATTGAATTTATCATCTATCCATCAAGCCATTGATGAATCAATCCATAAAATCGACCAATATAATAGTTACCAGATAAGTTTTAACCATTCAACCAACCAATCGAGCAATTACTTCTCTGTGCGTTATTTATTTCATCCATTCATTCAACGCGCTTATCAATTATTGATCATCAACTCACCCACTTGATTTGTAAAGTAATCAATTAATCAACCACCCTCTCCCTCGCTCACTCTTTCACTCAATCTCTCATTCACTCAATCGAATAATCTACCAATCAACCAATCAATCAATTTATCAATCAACCCATCAATCAATGTATTAATCAATAATCAAAAACACCTTCTATTTCTAAGTCTGAAAATCAATTTATTTATAAAAGCAAATATCAGTTTCAATGTATGTCGTCATATTCTAATACAAGAAAGGGACGATGCAGCAATGAGTTAACGGTTAAAAAAGATTTGAAATATAATCTTATATTTTATTCAGAATCATCAGAGATAATACAGCATATAAGTCCAATAGAAAAGTACATTTAATTAAAGCCTTTACATCAATATTACATTCTTAGTTAGAATGAAATTTATACATGTTCATATGATTTAATGCGAGTAGACATGACGGTGACTGTTCGTCCATCTGCTAGACGTAGTTACTTCGATCTCTATGCTAAGTCGCTGAATCCTACAATGGTCGTTGACAATGTAAAAGGAAATGCCTTCTAATAAGTCTCTACCTACACAGGTAAAAGTCCTCAGTGATGCCCAGTCTTGGTAGGTAGAGGATCAGACTCATACACCTCCACGTACCCGGCTTGGCTTTCACAGCTCTTTGCTTGGCCGATGTCCGAATCGACGTTAGCATACTCCAGACCGTATGGTGGTGCGGTGGGTTGGGATGCATTATGGGCGTGGCCATAGACGTGGTCGTGGGTATGACCATGGTTGTGACCATGGGCGTGGTCTTTGACATGGCCATGGTTGTGGCCATGGGTGTGAACGTGGGCGTGGCCATGGGCGTGGTCATGACCATTGGGATGGTAGGCTACTCCGACCTTAGAATCTGATGTGGTTGGTTTGTTACAGCTCTCGTAGCGAGGCGGTAGGTCATTCTTTGATGTCTCGGTGCTTGTTTTACCTGAAATACGAGTCGAAGAAAAGAGGCATATTAGGAGATTAATATGCACTAGTATAAATATTGTTATTAAGTCGCTTATGATTATTTCATATAACCCTAATATCATTAAAGTTTAATAAAAGTAGTTTTAACTTTTGATTCACCTACACGAATGAATATTTGTGAGCTAAATTTAAATTGCAGCAAATGGAAACTTGTATAATTTCTTCTGTTATGTTATTGAGGAAATGTTACATGCGTTTCATGTTGCACACTTTCTCAGCAATAGGGGTAATGATAATCATCTTACCGTTTCCATCTTTGGTTGTCTCCTTCTTCGTCTTTCTGGTGAATCTCCTAGTTGATATTCTGTAGATGGAAATACGAATAATGCTTGTATGACCTTTTGAATGTACACACGTAACGACAACTCGAAAACCATGTTTACAATGCCAGCTACTAAAATGTGATTCTTCTTTATGTATCATAATATGTTTTTCACAGGCTCGTTGTTTTTGCCATTTCTTTATTTTTTAAGAAAATGAATACATCGGTAAATATTTATTGAAACATTTTATAAATGATTTATTTTATAAGATCCTGAAGGCCCTTTTGTCGCGATTGTTTCCGGTTTTTTTTTTTTGGACTTTGGCGTAAAATGTTTGGCAATTCTTATAATTGTATGATATATTGAAATGGTAGTGAATACGATTTTCGAAAATTGTTCTCTAACTTGTAAACAGTTATGGTTCCAAACCCCCTCCCCTTTCCCTCCCAATCTCAATAGTGCTCTAACGACATCTGTTATCATTCTTAATATACCTCCTCATGACCTCCTTTCGTCCTCCGCACAGGTGCACGATCACGGCTCCGATGATGATACCAATGATAAGGATAGCGACGAGGACGATGATGAAGAAGACGAACTTCTGCAGGGAATTATCAATCATCTTCATCTCGTCGTCGGGCATCCTGTCGTCTCTGGGTGTGGTGAGGGCTGGTGGGGCGGTGATAGTGGTGGTCGGTGGGGGTAACGTCCGTCCTCCTATTTTTTTAAATGACACAAAAATAAACTTAGAGTATAATGTATAGCCTAACTATCTTACGTGACTATATTCATATGAAATGAAATAGACAAAGCTTGTAGTTTGTAGATATAGAAATCACAATAATTATAATATGAAGAAACATAAATAATGCGCACATAGAGAATCCATGAGAATGGATAAATACACTGTCCTATTATCTATGTTATTACACAGGTTAAATAGCTAATTTTCTCAAGTTGCCCTGAAAAACTTAAATTCGTTCAAGAATTCGTTTCACCATGTTTCCATTTACTACACCTTTTTTGAGAGTGGAATATGTAGATTAAAATCTTGTCAAATGAAATAAAAATGGAATTTGTGCACTTTGGAACAACTCGTAAACCACATCTTTCCGCTGGTTCGAGGATAAAAAGCTGTCATTTATCAACGATTAAGCTCAATTTACTTGTTGTTATGATGCACGTGGGTTATACTCAATTATAATTAAGATATGAGCAATAATGAAATAATAGTGATTAGATCATTTATCTCACCTTGGGGTTCACAAACACCGTTCACCTCCATGAAGCCGACACAACATTTACGAGCATTGACGTAAACAATTTTTGTCGCCTGCCTGTACGCCACGTGAGGAGTCATCCTAAATGTCGGGAGATAACAATATTATCACATGATTGATTAATATGAAACTGTAAGAATCAGGAAAGGGTATTGGCTTGGCTGGAGAGTAATGATAGTGCAAATCATGTGATGAATGATGAGCAGAGAGAGAAATGTACTTATGTAATAATTATTTATAATTAACTTTACCTCCCCAAGAATAGTTTAAACTATAGTGGCACAGCATAAGTCCAACCTTGACGGGGTTCTGGTGTTATGGGAGGGGGCAATATAATATGGATGTAATAAGAGAATACGGGTCATCCATCATCTTCTGTCCTCATTATCTACCCCATCCCCATTTCTTTCTCTCTCTCCCTTCTCCCTTTCTTGTCATCCGATGGGGGAGTGGGCTCCTCCTCTCGAGAGCCCTTTAACTCCACAATTGGGAGTGACCCGATTATTGACCTTTCATTTACCTGTATTTTCTGCAGTATGCTAGATGAAGCCATCCACATCTTGTCTTGGTTGATATTCTTTTCTGAGTCTGGTACGATTGCATCACTGTGATGGTAGCACTGTAAATAAAATAGTTAAAACAATGTCTCATATAATGTGAAAATAAAAGTAACTTATTTAGCGGCTACCTGAATGACCGATTGCTGAGAGAGAGAGAGAAAGTAAACACTTTTTAGTTGCTAAAACTTTATATTCTTCCTTCTACTACTACTACTACTACTACTACTACTACTACTACTACTTCTACTACATCTAATGATTGCAAATTATTTCTTTGATCAGAACAGGACATCAAACAATGACGTTTAATGAAACAAATTTTCCGTACATTGAAACTAAATAATAATTATGGTAATACTAAATACTAAAGACATGAGCTAATTACCTGACAATCTTAGTGCACCTTCCTGGCTCAAGGGAAGCCATCTCATTGGCATCGGTTGCATGACCGTGATCAGTCCCATGATCGTGCCCCCGTGGTCCATGATCATGCCCCGGCCCGTGGTCGTGTCCCGGTCCTGGTCCGTGGTCATGCCCTGGTCCTGGTCCGTGGTCATGCCCCGGTCTGTGGTCGTGTCCCGGCCCCGGCCCGTGATCATGGTCATGGCCGTGGCCTCCTGGTCCATGCTTTCCTCCTGGGGCGGCGCCGACTGTGGATGCCACGATCAGGAGGGTCACAGCTACGATGACGGTAATGTTCAGCTTCATCATGATTCAGTTTTGTTGTCAGTCAATATCTGAAACAGAAACAACGACAGTTTAATTTATAAAAGATAATCAATAACCTGTTAAAAAATTAGATAATACAGATACGGAGATTCGTTCTATATATACAGCATGTCTGATAATATTTTCACAACACATCATTTTAGATGAAAACAAATTGTTTTAAGCTTTATTTTAATGCAATTTTATTTCGTAGATAGTTACTAATCTTCAGTTCTTTTTTAATGGGAATGAAGAATGGCAAATCTTGAAGAAAAAAAAACATTAGAAATAGAATAGAAAAAGTTAAAAGAACCATTTTATAAGCTTACCTTCTTTGGTGTTCAAATATTCGTCTTTCTGTCTCTGTAGCAGATTTGAAGTAGGACTAGATCACTGATGCCTTTCTCGGAGCTTTGTTACTGGTATTCAGACACCAGCTCCTATTTATCCTCTCCTCTGGGTCCAGCAATCAGACATATCCACCAGTTTGATGCGTCTGGGATAACAAGTTCATCGGATATGATGGCCTAGAAATTTAAAAAAACACAAAAAGGAAATATCCTCCCACTCATCATGCGTATACGATATCCAAATATAATTCGACGAGTCACTCTCTAATAATTTCGTCGGTAAATAATTTCAATTTTTGAAATTGCTCATACCTCCAAAATAAAGTTGATTACCCACCCAACCCAAAGGGCTTGATATGACCAAATCTGATTATTCTACTTTTTAAAAGTTCTCTATTTCAGCATGCTCATTGTGAGAAAGGGCAATTCGATTCTTCTTCAAAATGGTGAGCTGGGACAAGGCCGAGGGGGGGGGGGGGGGGGGGGGGGGTGGGTAGAGCAAATGTGCAAAAGATACCATTTTAGTACATAATTGGCTCTTTAGTTTGATAAACAGTACTTTTGATATAGATTTGTGTAATTTAAACATCTTTAAATATCGTACATTAAACGTACATGACGTACATAGGGAAACTGAGCGCCAAATGTGGGTCAACATGAGCGAACAGATATGATTATTTACATCAGTTCTAGGGATCAATCTTTAATATAAATCTAATAATATATAATGATTTATATAGCGCTTATTACGGAATGCCGTCTGTATTAAAGTGCTTTACAGATATTATCATTACCCCGGTCATCGGATTCACACACCCACACAATATACCAAATTGGGAGGGGGGGGGGGGGGGGGGGGGGGGGGTAAGAGGCCATTTTTTATAAAAATCTTTTGGTCCCAAAAATTTCGCAACGATTCAGCCAGCCGCTGAATAAGCGGGGGGGGGGGGGGGGTAACAGGACATATATATTTTTTGTTTGTGTGTCCCAAAATTTGAAAATTTGGTCCATCGGTATTGGGGGGAGGGTTAGGTCTGTCATTTTGGGTCACCAAATTTTTTCGAGTGATACATTTCATGGGATTTTGTGAAATAAACGTTATAATTTTTGTCTTTCTAATATTCATTTTTGGCTGACGGCTGTGTGACAATTTTGTAAACGAAGCATAATGATTTACATTGAATATATCATACCACAAAAATTTGCAGGGGTGCTGTGCCCCCCCCCCCTGGAAAAATTCCGGGGGTGCTGCAGCACCCCCAGCACCCCCGCTTCCCAGGGCCATGAGTGCTTCATCCACTCGACTTCGACACCTCTTTAACGTCATCATTCGAAAGATGCGACTCGGTTTCGAACCTTGTTCAGAGTCAAAAGTATTTAAAGAGAGCCGACTTTATCGCTAGACCAACTCACAAGAGCAGATTCAAGGAAATATATTTTCTTAATAAAGGGGCTTACGACACAATGTATAGGGAATGTGAATCCTTGCTTTAAATGTACAAAGAATATAATTCCCTTTCATTCATATGAACATTGTTTCCTAGTCATAAATCAAAAATTGAAGTATGTAGATGTGAAGGGGTGTCCCCTCCCTAAAAACATCAAGAATTGTAGTAATTTTCTAAAACAGTATAAACCACCAGCTGCTATAATATATATATATTTTATAAATATGGATCAAAGTATACACTGCACATACTAAAAGCGGGACATTTTCTTCATTATTGATGGGCACGTTTCAATGAGGAAGGGGCACTCTGTCATCGAGAGGTTGGCACTTGTATTGAATTACAAAAATCTTCCCATGGCATGAAGATTAAACACAATGACGGGGGTCCTTATGGAAAAATAACTTCAAGTCTTACAAACAAAGTTTGCTTTTCTGTTTCTGCGTTGTTAGGGTGGCGATGCAAACTTTGAAACATTTTGCTTGTCTCATGTTTACACAATTTTAGTACAGTGAATTGACAACCGTAGAATCCTTCCTTTTGAGATCATTGGCATTGAAATATGATAATAAAGAACAAAGCATTGTACTTGTTTTTTAACGGTGCTTTGTTTCAGACCAACTACATGAAATGTTCAGTGTCACCGACCCACCGCTGTGATTTTCCTTTTTAACCCCCCCCCCTCCCGATTATGATCATGTTCTCTCTCTCAAGTTCATTACTCGACAATTCATTTTCGTTTCGTTTCGGCGGGGGTAAGCGGAAAATGATGTTAGGATATGTAAGCAAGTTAACTCTTTGACGACGTGGTACTGTTTGGTTTAGAATGAGAGGGACATCTTTAAAAACAATTTGGCAATTGTGACAAGTTTAATTTGGTAATTGTCCAAGTTTTATGCAGACATGACTCTGTAAATGGCATGTTTTGATAGTAGATAATGAGAATATAGAGATTATTCATAAATAGAATATGTGTATCGACAGCATGATTATTGAAAATTATTTTCACATATCAGTCATGATGCTTGAGAGAAGTGACTTGAAATAGTTTTTAATTTCACATTAATTTTTTTTTCTTCATTAACGTATAATATACTTTTATTCATAAGATTAAGTCAAATAGATTGAAGCGAGAGAAGCTATTTGAGTAGCGTATTTTTTCTCAGAAAGCTATCTCCTCCCTTTTTCTTCCAACCCTCGTCTCTGTCGTTTCTCTCGCTTTGTCTGTCTGTTTTTCCCTCCATCCCCTCCCTCCCCCTTTTCTCTCACACACTCTCTCTCTCTCTTTTCTATTTCTCTCTCTCTCTCGTTTATTTATCTATCTCTGTCTCTGTATGTATGTATCTCTGTCTCTCTGTCTCTCTCTCTCTCTCTCTCTCTCTCTCCCCCCTTCCCCTTCTCTCATTTCTCTGTCTGTCACTGCCCCCCCTCTCTCTCTCTCTCTCTCTCTGCCCTCCTATCTCTCTCTCTAGTTGTCTCCCTTTCTTCTTATATCTCCTGAACTCGACTTTCTTCTCTCTTTCTCTTTGACTGATATGGATTGACATGTCCTTAGTTTGAAGGATAAGAAACTAGACAATGATACAATTTTTTAAAATATTACTTCTTTCTTTGTCAAATATCATAATATAGCATTTACATAACAATATGTATCTTTTAGTCAGCGAATTTTAAATGATAACAAATTTATATCAAAATATTACGAAAACACGACAGTATTGTTGAATTAATTGTAAATGACATGTAGAAACTTGTATTTCATATTTACACAAATACAATAATAAACGTTACGCGGTGGCAGTGTAATACTTTAAAACCATGATATAAGATAATAACATTACAGCTTTCCTTCCCTTTCCTAAAATTCTTTCAGATTATCAATCCCAAGAATAAAAATGTACATGTTATGTAATCATTATCTATTTACTTCGCATCCTTGATTGATATTTTGTATCGATACATAGATGGGCTAATTATGTAGGTTTATAAGTAGGTTTCTTAAAAATTTTGTTTTTAAAATTATAATGGTGATTTTATCGTTTTACCTCATCTTTATAATCATGTAACTGCATAATCAAGCGTTTGTTTATCATATTTCAGCGATTTGAAGGCAAACTCTTGAGGTTTTAAGCTACATAAGCAAAATAGATCACAATAAAAAAACTTTGTTTGAATTACGTAGACTTACATTTGTTTTAATCTTGCGCAAACAGGTCTGGTTAAGTGATGGGACCCCAGGAGAGATACTGAGCTTAGTTGGTACATGGTAAAACGAAGAATTTATTAGGCCCAAGTAAAAAGTCACTGGTTAAATTTTTAAAACATGCTACAACATCTACGAATGTAGTGTGGTGTGGAGGTTTAAAAGTGCGGTTTTCTGCAATTTTGGAAAGAGCGAAGCAAGCGATTTTCCCCTTCATTTACAGTGCCTTCCCCCTGCGGTAAATTATGCTTCTTTATCTTCATATTTTAATGCAATTTGTTAGGAGAATTATGGAAGAAACATGCTAGATATTAATAATGCTGAGAGACCAGCTCGCTGACCAAATTTGAAATGACGCAGGCTCGGTAACGGGCATTTTCAGAATTCTCTTTTCTTCCTTAACATTACCATGTTTATGTCTTTCTTCTATATGATGAACAATTTCCCCCTATATAATCATAAGTTCGAATGATTTAAACAGGCAGCTATTTTTTATTATCCTCTTGGCTTCTTGGCTAACAATTGTTTCCTCTGAGGTTCCAGTTAAATTAAGTACTGACAAAAATATTATTAGTACAAACATTCACATAAACCAATTTCAGCGACCTCTATATCGAATATGCAGTAATGTATGTCAGTACTGCTACATGATATCGAATATGATTTTAACCACAGCTATGCATTTCTAGCAATTTGACAATCATAATTCATTTATACAAGGATAAGAAAAAAATTTAAGAATAAGTCAAGCGATTCAAAATTCATAAACAAACTGTATGGAATATATGCGCCAAAGCTTTTGACTCCTTCGTCAAATGACAATTTTTCTTTGTGAGATCATGATTGTATCCTCACTTCAGATTCCATTGATTTTTAGTAATGATAGTTTGATACTCCGGAGGTGGCGACCTACTTTCATTAAGGTGCAGATATCCGTTATTATCAATCTTGTTTGACGTCACAGGATCTGGCGTTGTTACGTCATTAGATGGCGCTCGTACAGGTGGAGCTTGGTAATAATTGACTTCACATTGAGGTTTTCCTGTGCTCGTTGATGACGATGGCTTGTCGAGTTCGTCGAGCATCGGAACCTCGTAGCCGCCATTAATATCGACTATTTCGGCATAATCGCTTTCTTCCTTTCCCCCGTTGCATTCTGCATAGTGATCTGCGATGTATCGGGATAAGAAACACAAAACAAGATTTAGTCAAATCAATATCTACATTTATTAACTGTCGAGAAACAATGTCATGGAAATTTTTCAGGATTACCCCTCTTCGGGAATACGATTTTAAATGTTGATATTACTTTCCATTACCATCACCGCAATAATTGCTAAATTTAAGCCATATAGTTCTTTGTCTCTCCTTAAAAGAAAATGTTATATGCAGATGGTCATAATATCCCAATCTAATACACTCGCTTCGAGGAACAACACAATTGACATCACAGGAAGTAAAGGCAGGGAACATCTTCACCATTCTTCTTTTTCTTCTAGGCTTACTTCTTCTTTGGCATTCTCTCTATTGATAAACCGTTTTCGCTGATAGCATTGCAAGCTTATAATTAACTTACGAGTGAGTTTGACGACACCCTCCGCTCCGATAGTCGATTTTCTGCGACACCTGAAAATAAACAAGGATGATGTTTCAGATGAGATTACTGGACGTCTATAATATGACTGGTGTTTACATTGTTTTCAACACAGAAGAAAAAGAAACTTATATCATTATATACACATATACATCGAAATGCACTATATTAATCATGGCCTTGAATATCAGTCAGAAATAAAGGAGAGAGCATGATATCTGTCCTTATGTAAAAGAATCAAGAAACATGTGTATTATTCGAAACGGTCATCCATCAGGGCTTGTATAGAGTATTCATTGCCATGCGGTAATCAGCAGATTTTCTATACATTAACATGCATCTAAAATAACCCAATCAAGAGTTCAAAAAGAAATTACGTATCTCCGAATCTGCACAATTCTATCTGTGGGTTGCCTTTATAGGTCTTTTTTTCCCTCTGAGACTAAGAGAAGAAGGAACATTTAATTACAAATAGCATCAACAAACTACCTGGACATACAATCCGCATGAGAAGTATTACTTTGAAATTTTGCCATGTCTCCAAGACAATTTATGTGACTTACGGGTGTTTTAATGCGATCACGACTAAGAGACCGACAACGAGAGCAAGAAGGATACAGACGATGAGTGGTATGATGAACGATGTCATTGGCGGTGAGCCTTTATCGCTGGGTACGGCATATGATCTGGATACCAGCGTGGAAGGCATTGGACTAGTAGTAGTAGTCACTGCAGCTGGATGCATACCTGTCATGCCTGTCGTTGTAGGAGAAGGTTCAGGTGCGCCCTGGCCTGTGGACATATACACACATTTATATTAATGATAGTGTCAGTAAATACAAGTTGCAGGACTCCGTCGCTCTAACAGTGTAATACTACAATCTCTGCTAAGGAATTGGTGGGATTTCTCAATTTCTTTCTGCCATGTCCAGTAACTACACCTGGGTCGAGAGAGGCCTACTATGAGGTCATGAGCCCCAGTGTAAGGATTAACACTCTCGACCCCTGTACACTGAGAGTCTACTGGAAAAGCCTGTTCCTACATGAATAATTAAATAGCTATGAAATATTAAGAATTAAAGTGTATACATTAAAAATTATGAAATGATTATATTTTGGGAGCAATAGTGTTACCTGGACATTCCCCTGTGTATGGATCACACGCTGACTGGTCAAGACAGTTACATGGCTGGCTACATGATAGGCCCCAGAAGCTTGGGGGACAGTGCTCGGTACATCTATTTAAAAAGGTAGAATAGATGGATCATGATGATAATTAAAAAAATAATAATACAAATACATTTATATTGCGCGTAACAAACTGAAGCCTCTCTATGTGTTGAAAGGTTTAAAGGTAAATACAACAATACAACAAGACATATCACCCTTTTCAAACAGACATCTCACTGTTATATTTCCTTTTCTTTTCTTTTTACTCCCTTGTTCTCAATTTTCGCAAATTAATTTGAATGGGTGTACACGTGTCCTATACGTCTCTCTTTTCGAAGCTTCCAAGAAGTGAAAATGCTTCACTTGGATTTTACAGCTTTTCCCTTCATCATAATACCACTGTTATTAAACTTTATGAGAATAATTATGAATATAATATGTTTTACCTAACTTTATCACCTAGTAAAATGCAGACAAATATCAGAGAAAATGAAAAAAATTGAACTTGAAAATACTAAATTTCGATTTCGTCTTACCTTGGGCCATAATACCCGATCGGGCACGTTAGACAGGCGCCCCCTACGGCGTCACATCCTCCAACCATAGGGCAGTTACATCTGAGATCACAGTCCTGTCCGAAGAAACCTTCCTCGCAGGGATTCTCACAGAACATCCCAGAGTAGCCCTGCTGACAGAGACAAGAACCATCCTCCCAGCTACAGAGGCCATCATTCTCACATTGACACACCTCGTCACAGAAGGTCCCGTGTCTGTTGGATGGACAGGGCTCAGTGCAGTAACGACCTTGCCATCCTGGTGCACAAAAGCAATGACCTGGACATCCAAGAGGTCATCAAGAACGAAAAGAAAATGTCGTTAAATGCGTCCTAATGTCATCCTTGTTCACAGTTGGTTTAAGATACACACGGTAATGTTTACTTTTACATTTATGAATTTATTAGCGTAGCCACATGGGTGAAGGATGTAGCCCCCCATCTTTGCTTTGAATGTTGGATGTCTGTTGATACATGAAAGTTTGTAACAAACCAATCATCTTTACAGTCTGATCAAGGAGTAGCATCCACGTCACATACATAATCCATCTTTCAACTACGAGACCATTCAACATCTTCAATTTTTCGACAGGCTCGCCCAAAATGCCACAATTTGTACCAATTGTTGCTTACTTACAAGCATTTATGCTTTCTTAGCAGTCAGGTAATATAACCACTACCACCACCACCACCACCACCACCACCACAACCACCACTTTTTGTTATCCCTGAAACACATGCGGCGTTAATTGCTGACTGCTGATTGCATCACCGGCCGGCGCGGTCCCAGAATGGCCAATAAAGAGCGACAAAAATTGAATGAAAAATGAACAGTGCTAATAATTTTTCTGTCATTTGCATGAGTGGCACAAGACTAATCATGCAATCAAAATGAACCCTCGCATGCCACGGAAATTACAGCAAATAAGATATCTTCTTGGACAGTGGAAACTGTGCTGTGGTCACACCTTTCGGGATTTGATAGAAGAAGTTACCAAGGTTTGCGCGGAGTTTACCTGTAGGATCATAAGAGGCGCCGTTGCTGCAAGAATCGCTTTCCATGTAGCACCTTTTTCCCACACACCCGATGTTGCATGAATCACCCTCCCATCCGTAATCACACAAGCAATGGCCGTTAGAGGGATGGCACACTCCGCCATTTGCACACACAGTTAGGCATTGGAGAGTACAGTTTGAGCTGTATGTGGCAGTTGTACACCTGTATGTTAAAAATGTAATTGGAGAGAGTTATACTGCATGCTACCAAAAGTTAATGTCATTGACTATAAAATGTATTACAAGGGATTCTGCCTTTTGAAAAATAGAATTCTCGCCATGGCATTACTGCCATATCAGTTGTATCACCAGTCTTTAATCTTAAACTCTCATTTTTGCAAGTAAAAACATTTGATGGCTTAATTATCTACTCATAAAATGCTCACATAGTGCGGTTCAATAATAATAATAATAATAATAATAATAATAATAATGATAAGTAGGAAATACAAAGGGTTTAACAAAAATAATGTTCTTATATATATTTTTTTTCATGATTGTTGAAATCGCAGAAGCATTTTTATTCGACTATATCACTGCTCGAAGCAGCCTGATATTCAAGTTCCTCACTTCTCTTGTCAAAAAAAATATCGACAGCGAGCTCAGGAAGTAACTTTAAGATAAAAAAGAGAAAAAATAATGAAACATTTGAAATAATAAATCAAGGTCATGAGTAACCTTTTAAATATAACAGCAGTAGAATTTAGATTGTTAAACGACTTTGGACTAGATACTATACCTTTCTTCGCAGTGATTCCCTGTCCAACCTACAGTACAGCTACACTCCCCAGTCAGGTGATCACATGTTCCATCATTAAGGCATTGACAGGACAGTGAGCAGTTACGACCATACCGCCCAGTAGGACAAGCTGAAATAGGGTAGGGAAGGAAGAAAAGATAAAGATGAATGAGAAAAAGGAGAACAGTGTATAAGGAAGAATAACCATAATAATGAGAAGAGGATGTTGAGATTTAGCTATGTTTGAGAAAACGAAATTTAAAAAAAGAGGTGTAGAGGGGAGAAATAGAAGAGGAGGAAGATAGAAGGATGATGATGTAAGAACAGCAAGAAAAGGAACAACAACCACTGTCTTGAGAATAAATATAAAAACCAAGTATGAATTTATGTTAAAGGTACTATGTCCCATTTGCAGGCGAAAAAAATGAAAAGGTAAAATTCCAACGGCATTTGAAAGATAATACTAATTTAGAACTTCCGTAAAAAAGGTGGGGCTTGAAAATATCTTCAAGTGGGAAAATAACGACTATTAGTTGTCAAATCGACTTAGGAGCTGTAGAGCCAATAAATAATATTCTTGATTTTCAGACCATTGTACCGAAAGGTCATACGTTTTATGCTGCGCAAAGATTAAATCCGTTTAATTTTGGCCATCACAAGAAGTGGGTTTTTGATGTAGACAAATGCTCATGTACCCTTTACAGCTCATCTTATGTATGTGATTACCAAAGAAGAAAAAAGCCAGTCACTCACTCAAAAGTGTCTGACAGTGAAGTCTAGCAAGTAAACGGGTTTCCTTGCATAATTTGAATACTAGGACACTGCTAACGTTTAAATTTCACAGATAGGACATACATGACATATTCATAATTCCTGCAAAGTTCTACAGAATTTGAGGTTGGCTGCAAAAGGGACATAGTACCTTTAAATAAAAAGTAGGCCTATCTGACTCATAGTGTAAAAGTTCTATCAACATATTTGGTACATTAGTTGCTATTAAATATTAGGAATTCAGACAAAATTGCTCAAAATAAATTAACAGAGTTTGAAAGAACACGATACACAAAGTAAAGAAAAGTAAAGTCAAGAAGTTTCTTGACCTCAATCATTGTTTTTTTCTTTTAAGAAATGTTCATATCAACGATATCATTTTATTCGTTTTATTTATTGCATGTAGAATCAAAATATTTGAAAATGAACGGTAATCTGAACAGACTTTTTCCCCTTTTTTCTGGAAAAATGTCAAACTGGACACATTGCGAGGAATCGCAACTTTCCTTATTTGTCTTTATCTTTGAAATCTTTTTTTAGGAAACTTTGCTTCCTTATTTTGTAAAGATCGCACTTACGAGAACAAATATCTCCCTCTTGAATCCACCCATCACAGCACGAATTAGTGGTTGTCGTCAAGTACAGTTCACTGAAGCTTATTCTGCCATTCCTTCAAAAGCGAAATTACAATTTTAAAACATTTGACCTGAAAATCATTATGGGTTAGATCCTGTACTGTTGTGAAGGCTGTAGAATCACCATGTCGCTATACTGTCATGATATGAATAGACCACAAACATGCATGCTGCTTTAATTTAGATTTATTTGTTCTTACCATTTACCTAGCTTTAATATTACCCTATTAAACATTTCTCTCTAATACACATATTCGAATGTATGGATGTTCTTTTCTGGGAACCTAGTGACGAGTTTTTATATTAACCTATTGTTAATTAATGAACTACAATACTTGGAATCCAGTCTACATGCATTATGTATTGCTATGTCGGGCAATCCTCGGGCAATCTTTAAATCTGTAAAGAACAACCTTTGTTTAAAAGTATGCATACATTATGAAGATGTTAGTACACTGGAATATTAAGTGTGGGTTTAGATCAACATAATCAAATACATGGTGTAATCCTGAAAAAAAATTATCTACAATTCATGATCAAGGTTTTACAAAATTATGTGAGAACTTAGTCTTCAGGTAGGTAGGTAGGATTTGACCAATCTGTGTTAGCATGGTAACAATATGTCCTAAAATCCGCAGTATACAAGGTCTTCAAATTGTTAGGCAAATTATTAACCCTAAAAAAAAAACCCACACATTTCTTCTTTTTGTAATTTGTCTAATAGGTCACCGATCGTTACCGACGTAAGCAAGATTAATAGAGATATGGACAGCATTATTTCGTTCTTTATTGTTGTTACGATTATCATCATAATACATCAACAAAATTAATGTTTTTAAAAAAAATGGAATATACTAACCTAGCGGCTTGACATGCGGCAATCGTAAAGCCTAACTCCTCACAGTTCAAATCAAGAGCAGATGACGAATGAACCGAAGTGGATGGAACAAGGCTGCAAGAAAGATAAATAATATTTCAAATCGTTTGGATATTGGATAAACCGTGATCAAGCAAGAAATAGATGTGATATGCTGTCTTATCTTATGAGAGGAAAGCAGTGCTAAGCTCTTTGCAAAAGTGATGTTATTTCAATTTTGAAAGATTGAGAAGAGTTGCTATCCTTAATTTCATATATAACTCAGCTGATCTACAATACAACATTTTGTGATATAGATTCTGCCTACTGTATGTAAAAATGTTCTGCATAAAATAATGGCAAAATACAATCTAACATACTGATTGAAATATACCTAAACATATTAAAGCCTACATGAAAATTAAAATGACTGGATTGCCATACTCAGTACTTAGATCCTTTACTAGAATAACCCTGTTCTTATGAGAGATGCAGTAAAACTTAAGTATCAAACCGTTCTTCTTTACAGATGTAATAAATCACTAATAAGTTTTCGTTAAAATATTAATACATTTATATAAAATAAATGTATCCAAATTATGGTAAGAAGTCATGCACCTATTATGCGTATCCTTTTGATCAACTTATCAAAACATACGTAAAACTTCGAGTAAGTTATAAATATTTATTTTTAGTATGTACATGTATTTAACAAAACTCACTTTAGGTACTAATGACATGTTTCAGGGTTTACAATTTCATGTTTCCGTGTTTATAATACTCGTACACGGAAAATCAGATTATAAATAAGCGGGGATTATCAACTTAGCAACGAGAGGAAATACGGGGGTTTAAGTGATCTCAATAAATAAAAACATTACGGCAAATCGTGGTTGTTCACATAACCTAAGGCACTCAAGCTTTCTTTAATAATTGTTTCGAATTTCATGAATTTCATAAACCTACTCTTACTTACACAGGGTATGTGAAATATTGAAGTGTAATGTAATGAATTTATATTAACAACATGATATTAATGTATGATTAACGACATCATTAAAAGATTGCTGACATGATATTTTCGTAAATTGTTAAGTTGAATAGAATTCTAAATTTACTCCTATGGTTACCATTATAATTTTTTCAGGGGGGGGGGGGTGAGGTCATGTCGTATACATTGAGGTGAAACATTCATATCGCACATATTTTAAACTTTTTTGTTTGTTCGAGACCTACATCACAAAATTACAAACAAATGCTTTGAAAGTGTTACCATGTAGCTGTACGGTGTAAACAATCTACAATAATTACAAGTATGTACGTATGGAAGGCGTGATATTTACTGAAAAACACTAAAAGCAAATTTACTTGTTCTTCTTTCTAACATATCTATATTCAAAGTTTTTCGAGTTAAATAGAAGGGTAGTTCAAGGCTGATCTATTTCGTATTTCACTCAATAGCAACAGTATGAAATTATATGAACATTGACACCATGTATGAGCGGGAAGGCAATATTCTAAAAGTACAGGTGGTCAAATCAGCTTGTAATTAATATCATGATTGGTTTTCACACGAATCTCATTTTGGGAACAAGAGAGTTTAAAAACAGGAAAATAACTGACAAAAAAGAGAGCAAAATTAACCGACAATTTAGGTGGTTTGCGGCTAACAGAACCTTCAATCGTTACGGATATTTTGATGCGAATTCGTTTCTTACTTGACGTAACAACATCCTGTTTTGTAATATATCATTAAATTGACATGATCATTTAAATTCACCTCCATTGTTTAAAAAACTCTACCTCTTTATTGGGTAGATTATGTTTCCCATTTGGTTTCCCAAGCTATAATCCCAGATTAGGACTCTGTCTCAAAAGGATGTGGTCTCTTTACATATAACATGAAGTACATGAATTCTGCTATTAAAACAAAGATGCCGCAATGATTTGAATACAATCATATGCAGAGACTCACATGACTCAGTGAGACATAGTTAGAAAGTGGAGAGATCGTGAGATATATATTCTCTCCTGGACAATAGTAGACATGGTATATGCGTAATCTTCTCAAAGTATCGAATGGTCAAACGGAAACTTGAATTCGGCGGCTCAAAAACGGCAGACGTTGCTATATGAGTTCGCTAAACATTCCAACGGAATACTTTTGATTCCTTGTGTAGGCGTACAGATTACGTTTGTATTATCTTTCCATCGATACTCTGAAAAGTCAAGAAAATACAATTGTTTTAATTTTTCTATTTTGTATTATATTCTGTTGATAATTTGATTTCGAAGAACTGTTCAACCAGAAATAACACGGCCCCTTTAAGCTAAACCGCTGACAGTAAACTGATAGGTCAGCGGTATGGGTTTGCGGAAGGATGGTTGCTTCCGATTATCACGTTGAAAACATCGAGATTACATACTATAAAAGGATTTACTACTCAATATTAGCAGCTGAAGGTTATGTTTCTATAAGTGTGTGTTATAGACACATCAAGGCATACCTGTAATTATTTCTTTCTGGTAATGGATTTGTTCGTGTGTTTGTTGTTTGTCTTGTGAGGTTTTTTGAGAGAGAGGTTGTGAAAGTTGGTCATTAGGGTTTTAAATATCTCGAGACAAAAACAAAAAAGATTCACTAATTGATTGCTTCATTTCATTGATTGATAGGTTGGTTGAGTATTTCAGCCTACCCGAGAGAATTAGTCATTGAGCAATAATGATTTACTAAAGGCACTTGCTCATCGACTTGGTATCGAACCCGGGAGACGTCTGCTCTACCACTGAACCATCACGCCTCATTATCAAGTCCACGGCAATGGTGACCTGGTCAACCAATTATCATTCTAAAGATATGAACATTAAAATTATTGATACACAAAAGATATATACTACCATATCATCATGACCCCAGTTAGTGGAAATCGCTGTTTCCTATTCACCTGTTGCATGAACTGTTTGTTTACAAAAATAACAACAACTGAAGAGAAAACATTGAGGACAAATGTTGTTTACTTTATAATCAATTGAACGTTTTTGTAAGCTGCCAGTCTACATTTAATCACCATTGATATCATAATATTTGATGCCAGGACAAATGTAACAACAAAAGGGACTATAAATATATTTGATTTAGGGAGGGGAAACGGCGCAAACAACTAAAAAGGAGGTTCACATGGTCCATATTTTTGTTACCCTCATGGTTTCGATCTACCCGGATCGTGTTAAAAGGTCAAGTCAAGATCTCCATAGTAATGAAGACACAGGGGTCATACTGAGATTCATATTCTCCTCTTTCACTGTTTTGACATGACTGTAACATGATGCCTGCTCCTCGCAGCTGTCTGCCTGACTTCCATTTTCCTCCATTCTCATGCATTCCATGATGTACCGAATTCACGCATCATCCGTGAAACAATTTCTAAGATTATATACCAAGATTAACATTCACTTGAAGACGGAGTTGGGTTCATCCTTGGCTTACATTGTTGATTGATGGATACCTTATAATAATGTTAATACAATATCATAATCGTAACAAAAATCTTAACAACTTGAATTTGATACATCATGACAACCCCAGTCCCCTCCCCATTCAGGGGAACTTTTTTACAGGAGAGTTGTATACGTTACTCCCCCACACATTTAACTAAACATAAAAATTAACGGTGAAGACATGTATACAATCAAGTCGGGTTGGGTGTAATGACTTCTGGCTTGAAAAAAAATTAGTTGTTTTTCTTTTAAGAAGAGGGTAAGACACCCTTCCCAACAGAGAATAAAACAGTGTCCCTGTCAAAGCATTTACATCATTTTAGAGTATCACTACCCCCTTTTCATAAACTGGTCCCTGGTGGCCTTACCTTTGTGTGGTACAGACGTTGGAGCCAGTGAGAGGATACACAATAGACACGCACGTGATAAGAAAGATCAGGAAAGTGGGTTCCAAAAACGTCATGATGGTCCTTGGGAATTGTAGGCGACCGGAGGTGCAATAAATGTATAGCTTCACCTGAGTGATAGTTCATTGTTGTCCAAAATAAAAGAGAAAACGTGGAATATAACTTCGTGTTACGATGAAAGTATAGAACTTTTACAATTTTTTATTCCGAGCCTAGAAACTGTTGGTTGGTGCGCTATCCAGCTCAGGTAACTTTAAGCCTACTGTCAACCATATATACCCAAACATCTTAAAAATGTTAACGACGGAATGATCTATTAAGCCAGATACATGTCACAACATCTCTACAAGGAACATGATATGAAATTGGGTTCTATAGTAGAGCTACCTATATATTTTGGTACGCATTACCCACTCTATGAAGTTCCCATAGAATGTTGAATTACTTTGATGCCAATAGTTGCAATATGTAAAACATCTACTGCATTATATGTTTTGAATACATTCTGTAATTCATTCAGGCACAGAGACATATTATATACAACTAAGTAACTTGCAATAATGATGGATCTTCTAAAAGAACATAAGCTGATATACAGTGTATTAGTAAGGTGGAGATCGTTTCTGCTGGACAAGAATACATCGAATGCATGAACATTACATGGCATACACTGAAGCTTACTAATAAAACATGTTACAAACACGATTATCATAATAGCCGTGGGAAAGGAAAATGTATGTGTTCAACTTACGTGCAAAATGTGTCCTAATAAATCAAAAGTATTCCTTTGTAGTTTCACTTGAGCAAACTTTGTTTCTTCTCACTAACACCTTCATGTGGTACATCTCTAATGCAGTTATGACAATCGAGATTTCATCCTTGAGCTAGGAGTTTAACAACACTTCCAGGGTACACATATGTCATGCAATAATATAGAGATATGTCGGAAGTCGTGTCGTTAGTGCGAGCACCCCTCTGTTTCTCTCTCTGGCACAGATCTACAACGATGGCGATATGTTATTGACGGGCTGTCGGTTTTTATTTGCAATCGGTAGGGGGCGGCATGTGTATTTTCGTGAACATCCTCACATGTATGCATGCAATACTAAATACTTGTTATAAACGAGGCTTCGTGTGATAATATAGGTTCGATTTATCCACTTTTTATCTCATTTACATCACCAACTTCCGACGATACGCGTTTCCTTATTTACGAATGGATTATATGATAACGTCAAGTACAGTATACGCTTCAGCTGGAAAAAATGAAGAAATCTATGTTTTCTGTCTTTGTCAAATACTTAATATTTCAATCAAATTTACTTGTTCTGTAAAGAAAATATTCATTATAATAATTCAATTGACCATGGTAGTAATTTCTTCAACCTATTATGGAATGTTTTATGTAAGAACTTAGCACGGCAATGTAATCGTTCCCCTCCTTCATTGATACTCCTTCCCACTGGCATGGGTATCGCTAGAACACCCTAAATAGGGCTGGGGTCTCAATATTCTGACTCCCAAAAAGTACAAAAAGGGACAAATTAGCCCCCGGAGATCATGATAATAATCAATCCAATCAATTTATTAAAAAAAAACTTAATGGGGAATTAATACCCCTCATATCCCGTCTGGGGATGCCCCTACCACTTGTATTCCAAAGAAAATTAACAAGGTTTTCATAATAAAATTTCGCATTTCTTCGTGAAGTATAATTATGAATATTGATGGAGGATATTGTTGATGTTTTGTTTCATATGGTGGATGTGCTACTAATATAAAAATAAAATATAAGCACATCAAAAAAGTTATGCAGTTCAAGTTTTAGCGTTGATATCTCTTTTGTTAGTTTATTATCATCATTGACGTTGGTATGATCGCAAAACCTGTCTATTCCTCTTTACAATGATGCCCCATTTGTAATGATTACGTAACCATGAACTGTGCAGTACACTTGAATGGGGCCAAGTCAAAAGTAAAACGATGCAAAATGCACTGTTATTGTCATCAGTAAATTAGTCATTTGTTCAGAGAATGGATTATGTTTAGAAGGAATAACGATGCATTCTGCAATATTTTGTAGGAGTTTATAAAATACTAAATGATGAGCACACACGCCACACACACAAACCCTGCCTCCCCTTCCCCTAAGCCTCCATATACATACCTCGATTCCTATCATCTTTCTACATCATCAGTATCACCATATCACCAGGATAATAATTTCATATCCATAGGATGAACTTTTTTATCAATTAACTTTATTATTTCAAAATCATTATTTATAATATAGACCAACATTTATATCAACAATTAAATTTTATTGAGCAGATAAACGGAATAAAATGAAAGAGAGTAAAATGAAGTCAAACCGAGGTATCGTTTTGAGAAAGAAAAAAAAATGAAACAAGAGTGAAAGAATAAAGAACTGTGTAATATTACTCTTTATGACATTTTCAAAAATAAAATCCGGATCCATGACCTTAAAAATACACCTCCTGGTAATATTACTACATCTCTGCCAGGTGACTAAAGTATAAATCCACTCATACAGCCGTTTACTTTTTTCCTAAACATATAGACATGAACATATTTCTGCCCTTTACAATTTAACATGAATTTCTGCATATTTCTGCCCCATGACACTTACATTCAAAATATTCAAAACATTCAAAGAATAATATTAATCTGTAGTAGTTCTAATATGGTACATTTCGATTAAAACACTTCACGAATGGTTACTTTTGAGAGAGAAAAAAAAGGTAAAATAGGTTATCTGCTATTCAAGTTTTAAAAAATTAAGTATTGTGAGTGCATCATAAACAGTAAACCGATTCTAACACCATGGACGGAGTACACTGAGCACAGTCTTCTTCATCTTGTGTCCAATATCTGCATCAATTAGAGTATATGGAGTGGGTGCTTTTGCAAAAAGCATTTCTGTTTTAAATTTTGAAACAACATTAGTTCAATACCGATAAACATTTATGACAGAAAGTAAGTTATTATAAATGTATTTATTAATTTTATATGAGGTCGGCCTGATAAAATCCATGATTCCTCTAAACTTTCAATTACAATGGTTTCCGTTTTTATTAAAAAGCTATGGGTATTTCCGACAATGGTGGGGAAATATATACAAAGCTTGGATCATTTGATCAGTCAAACATGTTTTGTTATGGCATCCTCAATGGTACGTCACATTGTCCTTATCACTATCACGAATATTGTACTGTGAAAGAAAATATATGACCATATATATCTATAATAAATTCGAAGATGTGACAGAAAGATACAGTACTAATATACAGTACTTCTTTGTCGCATATTTTCGTACTGATAAGTTAGAAGTATTTTATTAAAGTACCGCGATTCAATGTGGTCAGCATATTGTTCCCTTGTCTATCACCAGGGTTGACTTGCTCCAGCCAAGATCAGTAGTACCTTGAACCTGCTAGAGGTCTATGGTCTTCCAACCCATGATTTAGTGATCTTCAGCAATGTTTTCCAGATCGACGTTGCAGTAGTTGTTCGAGAAATGAGTGGGAGACATCTCCGTGTAGGATTCGACTGGGGCTTTCTCGCTATGAAGGCTGATAGATCTATCGAGTACAGAGTTGGGCCTACTCCCGGACATGTCTGTGTACGTCGATGTGTTGTCTCCAACCAATGTAACATCTTGATTGGAGTAAATGGGCTCCATATCAGGGTTTGCTTCAAGAATTTTCTCTGAGCCGGTCTCACTGGTATCGCTCTCGAAACTTGACCCGAGATGTCCATATGCCGTGTTGGGGCTTTGTCGTAGTTTCTCGAGAAGATCTTTGCCTTTCTTTTGTGTTTTCGGCATCGCTCTGTCGAGATCGTCATATGCATCGGCATCTACCAGTTCGGCTGCATTTGAACCAGACGATGGAACTGCAAGAAGTGGTGCATAGCCATCGATGCCAGACTGATCGGTTTCCGACACGCTCCGTTGGAAGGAATCGTAGTTTTCAGGTGAATCCACTGAGCTGGACTGTACAAGGACGCCATACTTTCCGCCTGAAGTGTCGCAGCCCTCTTTGGAAGATATCTCACGATCCGAGGTACCCGGTGTAGAACCTCGGTCCAGATGGTCGTATGTACCCTGTACATCACCTATTGCTTCATACTCCTCTTGTATGGCGCCCTCTCGAGAAACTGAACTTGGTGGCATATCATCAACTTCTGCATAACACTCATTGGGGTTTGGTGACGAGTTGTCAAATTTAGTGTAGCAATAGTCATACTCCTGCACGCCTCCGTCTGGGCTGACTGAACTCGATGGCATCTCATCAACTTCGTTGTAACAGTTGTCAGGTACCGTCGCCATGGAAACGGGAATAATCATCTTCTCGTTGGTCTCCAAACAGACGGATCTATCCATGTAAGTGTGTGTCAGACTATTTGTCTTTCCTTGTGCTTTGTCTTTTCCCTTATCATCAGGGGGTCTTTCGACGATGCAAGTGTTTTCATAACTTGGCTGAGGGTCTTTGGCTGGTGGTGGAACTTTCGTCTTCTTGTCCACGATTGCATACTCGTCGTCCGGTGCGGAAGGTGGAGAGAAATGCAGAATGTGGGAACCTTTGAGCAAGAAGGAAAAAGTGTTTAAAGGATTATATAAAAAAACTGATCATGCATTTTCACTCAAATGTCAAAGTCCCTTTTATACCAAAGTTAAATCATCAATGAAGCTCTCTCTCTCTCTCTCTTTCTACATATCCATGTATTTTTATATATGATGCAATGATCAAATACGCCTTTTTGTTCTACATTTAGTAAGTCAATACCATATATTTCATTTAAAGATATATTTCCTTAAACAAGCTAACTGACATGTCTGATATATGGAAGTTAAGATTTTACCCAAACAGATTGGGTATCAATCAGTACGTGTACTAAACATGCTGAAGGCCACCTTCCTAAACCCCACCCTCCAGTTAAGATAGTCGAAGGAGTGACCAATAGCAATTGTTCAATGTAGACCCATGTTTAGCACAGTAATATATAACTAGCGTTTATTTCTCGCACATCATTCTCATTTCTCTGTTATAACTTACTTGTTTCCGACAGGAGCTGCAAGTCACGAAGTGGTTCCATGTGCAAACTGTAGGAAAATGA